CTCTGATTTGGAAAATAATGGTGCTTCTTATAATGCTGGATATAAAGTCATTAGTGCAGTGAGTTCCTTTAAACAGCAGTGGGAGCTTTAGAGTCAAACAACCTGCCAAGAGAAGAGTCTGTTTCTCACTTTTTGCTTCTGTTTTAGATGTGACTCGGATTCAGCAGACTCTTGTCACGTTGGTCTTTATGTTTTTTTGTTTTTCCTCTAAAGAGTTCTTAAAAAAAGACTATCTAGAGACGAAAACGCAGCTCAGAGATTTGGGTGGGCTGGAATTCAAAATCTCAGTTCACAATCTCAGGAATGTTAACCTTTGTGTTTTATTGACATTGGATTTACTTTCTCTTTGGCTGGTGTCCTTCAGACTCCAAAGCAGTACGGGTAAAAAATAATAATAAAGGTTGCAAAAATCTATAATTCTTTTTTTTTTTTTCCCCTCCTTTAAAGTAAATTGTATTTTCTCCTGACAATAATACTATCCAGCAGTGACTGTAGGAGAAGATCAGAGTGGTCACAAACTGCCTATTTCATCAGGTTTAGCTGCAAAATATTGACTGCTTTAATAGCACGGCTAGTACACGAAACAAGAAGTTGTTTTATGTTTTACGTGTTATGCAGCTTGTGGAAATAAATACATTCATTTTGTGTGTTTAAATTTGTGTGATATAATATATTTAATGTCATTTATATAATTTAATTCACTAAAAAGTCAACAAGAAGATATAACTATGTTGTTCTATAGTTAATATCATACTTATATTTTTTGGTATATTTATGTTAAACCACTTAGAAAACTCCAGTAAAACAAATGCAAATAAACAAGTGCAGGATGTTGTTTGTATGTGCACATATGTGGGATTTAGTAGAGGTAGTGGTGCACCAAAAAAAAAAAAAAAGTACAGAATGTCCTCTGCGAATCATATTTTATAAGTTGGCTTTCTGAGATCCCAAATAAAACTGTGAAAATTTGAAGCAATTTGTTAAAGATCAAAATGAAATTGTGCATCAAGATGATAAAATAACTAAATTTCCAGAACCCCAAACAGAATAACAGGGTTCAATAATCTGCAGGATGCGCAAAAAAAAAAAAAAAAGGTGTGTTTTCCCGTCAGCAGTCATCCCGGTTTGATTCCATAAATTCAAAATAATCCGTCAGGGTATAAAAAAAATGAAAGATATCGTTTAACTGATAGAAGAGATGCCCCTAAAATAGATCGGCGATGAATAAAAGTCAGGCTATCATGTTGTTGCTATAGTAATATTCCACCCAAACAGTAAAGCCAGACAGTCTGGTGAAGGCAGTTCAGGCGTCTCACCTGCAAAACTCATGATCAGCTCAACTACCCCCCCACCCCCCCTCCTCCACAACCCATCACCCCACCTCCCTCCACCCACTTGCCCCCAACCTAATTCAAGCATTCCCTCTCTGAACTCCAGCAGGGGTCCATCGACTTATTGCATTATGTACTATTAAACAAACTTGGACTTCTTAAAAGCAGAGTCAGACTTCAGAGGCTGTGTGGCATGTTTATAGGGATGGACTGTACAGTACACAGAGATTTCTCATTTCTCCCGGTGACCTTGGGCACAGTGACATGTACGGTTTTGAGGCTTTGATTTGCCATGTTGAGGTGTTGCGGAAAAGGTGCAATGCAAGATAATTTTGGCATTTTTTCCCTCCTGGGAGCATAGAGAAGTAAGAAATACAGCAGTTCATACTCTGGAGATTACAGGTAATATGACACACAGCCCTTCATAAACATTCCTGACCCAACCTGATGATGGAGATATTGCTTCAGGAGAGACTTTTCACACTTTGATTTGCCTAAAATGAGATGGAGAAGTCAGTGATCAGACTCTTTGAGGTTCCTCGCAGAGAAGCCAGCACTGGCTGTATATCTCCCAGCGTTGCACACATGCTATGACAACCAGGTGAGCAAGAGGCAGACTCCTGCAAACAAATTGAGAAAATATCCTCAAACAGATGATATTGATGTATTATTCATGTCAGAGAGAAAAAAAAAAAAATACTAAAATGATCCATCTCAGGCCATTGAAGCCAGGTGATAATCCACATGCTTGTGGGGCAGCCCTTTGGCGAATTAGAGATGAGGCAACCATTGTACGTCCCTCTAAGGTCAACATGGTTGAACTGGTGATACATGTGTATGTTAATTTGCCTAATCTTACTTCTACAAATGTCTTACAGGCACATAAAGGGTTTAACACTAAGATATTATGATATCAGGGCATCAGGCGGAGGGGGGGGAGGCTTATGAAAACAGGAGGCAGCCATGGCTTTAAATCCTGTGTAGGAACCTTTGTGACGCCTGTCTACATCCACAGCAAAAATACCAAGGTTCTTGAATTTTTAATCTTTTATTAAAATATTAACTTAATTCCCAACCTTTTTTTTTTGTCAGTTTCAAAATACAACATTTATGTTTCGGGGTGAATTAAAAGGTTTGATTCATTGCCTTGAATTTTAAAAAAATTCATTTCATTCGTAGATCTTCAGCACATATTTGACTCTTATTTTCCATGAATGAAACTTTAATTAAAAGCACTTATCGCTTCAGAACTGTAGCGCCGGTTTGCTCGGAGTTGAACAGACAATCAGTAAAGTCTTAAAATGAATTTACAGGCAGCTGTTTAAGAGGAGAAGCCCTTATCTCATGTACACACTAAACAGAAATGTTTTCTATCCCTGTGCAAAGAAAAGCTGATGTAACTGATGCTACTGCACCACCTTAACCAGTCTGAGTAAGAGGGGTAAATAAAGTCTTTGTTTAATCCGAACAACCACTTGAGTTCATCCAGTGTATATATTTTTTTGCCAAAAGTGCACAGTAAAAACCTTTTTTTTTCTCCCTTCAGATGCTTATCAGAGCCTTCTACTCAGCTACTATCTATTCAGGCTTATTCACATTAGGTCATTATGTGGTGGGTAAATAATATTTACATGAACATATGTAATTTCAAACCCCTGATTGCATTTTTTTAAACTACTTGAGGCCTGTGTGAGATGTCAAGAAAATCAAACTAAAGAGCCCAGAAATATGACTTCACTTGATTTCATTATATAATCAGAATAAAAACTATTTGAACTCAACCTTGGAATCAGATTTTATTTCCCACTGATTTTTTTTTTCTCCTCCTCCTGACAATCTTGGACTCATGAGTGCAAAACATTTAAGAGGAAAAAGTTTTCTCTCACTTTTTTTTTTCTCCATAGTTGCATCTCCACCTTTCTCATTCAGTTCCCGTCTTAGACAGAAAAAAAAAAACATAGGCTATCTATTCAAAAGGCATTTAGTCCATTTCTTTCTTGGCCGGTAAACCTATTCATCAATTGTTCTGGCTTGTAGATTGCATTCTAATGCTAATCTAGCGTGTTAAATATCTTTTTGTTCCCCTTTCACCGTTTTGTCATTCAGTTTATCCAGTTTTGGCCACCCATTTTATTTATTTATGCGCCTGCTTCTATTCATGCGCTCATGTATTTTTTATTATGTTGTTTCACTGTCATGCAGTGTCAACTCACTCTATTCAATGTGGGCTACTTGAAGGGCTTGGAGGGACAAAGCGTGTACACATTGCACTGCTATTCACTCCGGCCAGCTGGATCGACTGAAAAAAAACCTTGTGAAAAGAAATCCTCCACAATGGACACAGAAGAAGTGCACAATGCTAACAGTTTTCCAAATACCACTGATTGCTTTCATCACAATGAGGGAAAGCAGCCGCTTTTGCTGAGCTCCACTTCAACAAACAACACTCTCACAAAACCTCCCAACCCACGTTTTGTTCCCAGACAAAACCTCCTCGACCGTCTAAACGCTCCCAGAGTTGAAAAAAGTTCTTTCAGCTTTCTTCCCCCCTTTTTCTTCAAGAAAAAAAAAAAATAATAAAAAAAGGCCAAATAAAGAGAAAGAAATGGTCACTGAACTCGTAATGCAAGTTTTTATTATTATTATTATTATTGAACTCGTAATGCAAGTTTTTATTATTATTATTATTGTATGAGACGTTCTCTGTGTTTTGATCAGACAGCTACTGCCTTTGCCCTTTTATGACACCTCTACAAAAAATGCGTTTTGTTATTTATTACGCACCATTCAATTCTACTTAATTACGAAATAAAAAAAAGGAACAAGCAGGATTTTTAAAAAGGTTAAGGCCCAACCACATTCTGGTGTCAGAAATTACACATTCTCCCCTCTCCGTTTTTTTTTTTTAATGAAACCCAGGATCACTGGCTCGTTATTTTCGGGGCCAAGAAGGAAGTTCCGTGGAGAGAAGAGATCGAGGTGTTACAATGGAGAACATAGTGGTGAAAGGGTTTAATTAACCGTGACGGAGATAATTATCCCTGGACTGTCCAAATTAGTTTTGCATAATCGCTCTGATCCTTATGAATTAATCTCTCAGTGTAATCTAGGAGAAGCGTTTTGCTTAAATTGCGCACTTTACGCGTTATGGATCTAATAAGAATTGGACCTTTTTACGCACATGCTTTTACGCACGCACACGCAAGGTGCACGCACGTTCCTTAAGACAGGTGATCAGCTTCTTTTTTTCTTTCTTCACAAGGTGTCCCTTTTAATTTCTATAAAATGCACTTTTTTCCTCCAGACTTGGGAGCGCACACACACTCAGCTCAGGTTGTTTTAGAGCCTCAAAGACGAGCTTGTTCTGCAGCCTAAAAGCAGCTCTCCTCTCTTTTTTTTTCTTTTTTTTTCTTTGTCCATGGGAAAAAGAAAGCTCAGAGTACCACACAGTTTTATCTTCCTTCCTATTCACGATTAAAATTGTGATAAATAAGGTTTTGGCTCTTGATAACAATGGGCTGATTTAGATTTCCCCCCAGTAATGCCATTCAAAGCGCGGACAAAAGCGGCCTTTGGAGGATACCTTACACTTCACCTGGACTGAGGAGCAGGAGCAGGAAAAAGAAAAGATAACAATCTTGTTCATCTCATCAAGAACTACAGCCGCGATTCCCTTCCGTTTAATCCGAATACGCTTTATTGTAGTCCTTTTGCTCAACAAGTGAACAGTAGCAATAGTTTGAAGTACATAACGGAGGTTAAAGAAAACACAAAACATACAAATTCCATAAGAGTTAGTTAAAAACGTCTTTTTTTTTCTTCTGCTGCACATGATACGAGGAGTGGGGAGGGATCAAGAAAATGATAAACCCACTGAATAAACTTCCATCTGCATTCAAATTTGAACTTAAAAAAAAAAACTGAAATAGGGAGAGAGAGAAAAAAAACAAGAAAAAAAACCGGTTTGGTGAATCAAACCCGAAAGTTGTGATGCATTGAAATTGAGTGTCACCTTGAAAATAAATTACATCCTCTACGTTTCATGTGCAAATATCACAGAACTAGTCTTGTCCTTTTTAAAATTGTCTGGGTCACCATAGATTCCACTAAACAATAAATATTACAGACATCTATAAAACGGTTTAAAAACTCAAAATATACAGCGGTGGGGGGGTTTCTAGTGAAATACGTAGGTTCCTGGCCCTATCTCAAACACTAAGCCTATAACGGCAAATTAACTAAAGTCATTTTTTTATCTGTACACATTTACAGTGTTGTGACAATCCTCCTTGATCCGTGTGTTATGACCCCTTGCAACAACTTCTCTGTGAGAAAATGCTGTGATCCTGATTAGCATGGTCATTGTATGCGCTTGCCTTTGATTCCAACAGGTTTTAGTCAAGCAGGTGCAAAAAAAAAAAGAAGATAGAAATCGATCAGGGTACCTTTCAAAAAAAAAAAAAAGAAAAAAAAAAGAGTTTTCACAAGGGCAAACTGCACTGACGCCCATTCTGTGCATGTGTGCCATCCTTTAGTCCTTCCTCCTCTGCGCTGCGTGAGGTGATGGCTGCGTAATAATAGATTAGAGAGTTCTCTAAATAAGCATTACCTTAGATAAAGGCATTAATCAATATACATACACATGTGATATCTGAGACGACGAGCACTTCATCACATGTACAAGTTTGTGCATGCATAATAAAACTCTTGCATGAATAGCTTCTCTTTTTTTTTTTTTTCTTTCTTTCTTTTTTCTTTTTGTCGTGTCTTGGTTTTGTTTTTGATTTCACATTTCATTTTCATATAGAAGTCCAACGTGGGCCTATCATAACGCCGCAGCATACGCAGGGTACGGTTCAAGTTGAGGTTTTCCCATCCCGGGGAGCAGGATGTATGCTAAGGGCGGCTGGAGTCCTGCTGAGGGCCAGGCCGTACAGTTACACGGGATCATGTAGCCTGGGTTTCCCGGGGACGGATGAGAGTGAGTGTGGGTGTGCGTCCCGCCACCTACACTGCCAGTCCCGGTGAAAGCCGTAGTGCCTCCCGGCGGGTAGCCCAAAGGAGACGCGTACGGAAACGAAGGCGGGGAAAGCTCAGTCATCTTGGATCCCAGGTCGAAAAATGAATAGGGGTTCGTGGACATGGACGGGTTGAAGAAAACCCTCGCCGCTGCGGCCGCTGCAGCCGCCGCCGCCTTATCAGGGTTCCCAATGACAGACTCGGAAAGTGCTCCAGCGGAAAGCCCGTTAACTTTGAGTGCGTCGTGCTCCCCGAGATTGTAGGGCACCGGGAAAGAAAACTTATCTTTCTTCATCAGAGTCTTGGGCTTCCGCCTCGGTCTGTATTTATAGTCTGGGTGTTCCTTCATGTGCATCGCTCGCAGTCGTTTGGCTTCGTCGATGAATGGCCTCTTCTCAGACTCGGTGAGAAGTTTCCACTCCGCTCCCAGCCTCTTGCTGATCTCGGAGTTGTGCATTTTCGGATTCTCCTGAGCCATTTTTCTGCGCTGGGCTCTGGACCAAACCATGAAAGCATTCATCGGGCGTTTTACGTGATCCATTGGTTTAGACATATTGGCACAAGCTCTGTCTGAAAAATAGATATTCATAATGAAAAAAAAAATCAACCAGAGTATAAATAACTTGCAAAAAAAAAAAGAAAAATCACACTCTAGAGCACTTGATAAAGTTTAAACAGGACTCCGTTTGGAGATGCTCACTGGAGACTCACAGCAACTGCTGCGCAATGTTTGATTACTTACTTAAGACTTCAATTCTTCATCCCACCGATGATCAGGCTTTCTTCTGAAAAGTACAAGTGGCAGCGTCCTTATGAGCGCTCAAACGCTTTCTGCTTCGTGGTGGCATCCATCAGTGATACGCCTTTAGTAAAGAGGACGGAGGAAGAAAAAAAAAAACACTCTGCCTTGTTTCCCCTCTTGTCGCCTGAGACTGTCAACCAGCACTCAGCAGCAGCATTTACGCAAGTGGATGATAACTCCCGCTTGCCCCATGTGAAATACAGGATTGTGTGGCAGGTAGTGAAAGTGCCACTGGCGCATGCGCACTGGCGGCCAACACGCAGACGACTTGCTGAACGGGTCTTTTTAATTCCACAGTGAGTTTGAAGGGTAGTCGCTCCTTGTATTTTATATCTTTATCTGTTTTGTGTGACTTTTGTGTCCCTTTTGTGTGGCTCGGGCTCATTTCAGTCGTTTTTCCCTCTGTTGCTTTTATTCTAATGAGCAACTTTTTTTTTTCTACCGGATTGTCAGGTTCAATTAAAGTCATTTAGACGCACCTGAAATACCTGAGGATGGCATGAGCCTCTAACTAACGCACATTTTGGGGGACATTGAGTGCAGACAGACAGACAGACAGGTGCGTAACTGGAGTTCAACTTGTTTTGAATCTGAGCCAGCAGAAAGATGTAAAGCGCGCAACATTTTTTGGCCCCTTTTCTTTTTCAAACGCACCATTTAGTCGCCTAATCGTCTTTTCCTCTCACTTCCATTTATTTATTTGACAGTCAAAGCGGCTCCTGTCTGCTGGGTGTCACTCCACTCCCTCACCTTTTCCTCATCCTCACCGCTGTCTGTCCCTTCCCTTCCCCATGGGTGGCACTGCCAACTGAAAAGTAGTGCGCGTAAAGGCGACACGAGAAGGTAAAGAATGTCTTCTTTAATTTTCTGATATTGTGGCATTTGTGGTAAATAAAGCAAATGTTGAGGAGGTCTGAAGTGTCTCTAATCGCGCTTGGCGAAATTAATTACTTTCCTGAATTCCCCCCTTTTCACTTTCACTTCAAAGGACTTTCCCAAGGGCAGCGAATCGACAACTGAAATTAGGTTGTCGAATATTCAACTAAGCAATTACAGTTATCTGCAGGACCTGTTGAGTAAATTGTAGGTTTAAGTGGCTTGTTCTGGCACCTTCTCCGTTGTACATAATTATATATGTACAAAAAAAAGGGAAAGAGAAGGGCTGTATCGAACAATAATATAAATGACGAATTAGGCTGTAGGTCGAGCGTTTAAATTAGGATATAAATGGAAGTTAAATTCAATTCACTTTACTATTTTCCCTTTTGAACGGTTTAGCCTAATCTGGAGTTTGCACAATATACAATATGAAATTATTATTATTATTGAATACAAATATGTTATTGACAGAGGTGGAAGTTGAGTGACGCTCCAAAGTGATGCGTAAATTTCCAGGAGACAGCGCCCTGTTCTTCTGCGAGCACGTTGAGCCCTGAGATTGTTCCAGAAAAAAAAAATATATATACAATTCTGTTAACAAGGATTAGTGGTTGTTTTATTGCAGTGGAGAAAAGGCTCACTGAGGGATCGCTCTTTTGTCTCAAGTAGGGAAACCTGACAAGGTGAGGATGATCCGCGCCAAAAGGACCAGATGAGAGACAAACCTGCTGCCTCCCAGAGAAAAGAAAAAAAAAAAAAAAAAGACCTGACTCGCAGCATCTCTCAACACCGTGCGCCCCTTTTTTTTTTTTTTTTTAGTCGGCTTGTCATTCACCTCGATAACATTCCTGCAATGAAGCGCTCCACTCACTCCACAGGAGCACACACCTCTGCTGACACGAACGTGCAAACATTTCTGTAAATTGTTTGAATGGGCTCCAGTGGAAAGTTCTTATCTGGAGTTATGGAGGTGTAAGGATGTGCAAAGTGGGGCCCCTCAAGACATTCCTGCCTTATTTATTACACTAATATATACATATGGTTGAATTTCTCACTGTAGTTTTGTTTCATTTTATTATTTTTTTCTGGCATCATTTGGCACCATCCTCCCTCCCTCACATCCCTGCTCCTCAAACGTGTTTTAATAATTCTTGATTTCAACATGATGCTTGGGCCTAGTTGAGCCTGCAATACCGGGAGCAGGTGCATCCATCCAGTGCATTTGTACTGCTCATCAAAATGTCAAGATTTGTTGTATCTATTTCACAAAACAGCTTTTTTTTTCTCCCCCAGACTGGGAAACATTAAATTAATGTTTAAATTATAGTAATTTAATTAAGATCTGATAATAAAAAAAAAAACAAAAAAAAACACCACAGGGTGTGTTTCCCCCCCTCTTTTTTTTTTTTTTTTTACCTCTCCCTAGGTCCTAGAAATAACACTTAAATAATTCAACATGAGTTAGTGAGAGTGGGAGAATTACCTGCCGATAAAGCCTGGGTCCAGCCTCTGAGACGGAGCCAGCACTCCCACCTCACAGCACACTGATGATAAGACTGAATAGAAAAATATCATGCAAATAGAAGGCAGACAGCAGCAACAACAAGCCCATGGGGACATTTTCCTACCCGGAGAGATCGCACACAGTTCACTCTAAAGTGCTAAAGCCATCACTCTGAAATAGGAGCCCCTGGAGGTGCAAGAATCTCCATGATAGTGCCAAACAGTTTATTCTGCTCAACACTCCACTAAGTCTGGGAAAAAAAAGCACAACAAATTATGGAGAGAGTTGATGAGGATCCCCTGGATAATCCCAGTTTGTGTGTGTATATATATATATATATATATATATGAAGAAGGTCTCATCTATAAAGAATAGATGTGTACTTTCCTCCTTCTTTTCAAAGTGTTTACTGTTATTCTCCCATTGGACGGGGAGGGAGGGGTATCAAGTCTTAAAATAAATTGATTTCAAGGGAACACAAGTTGACCTCTTGTTATCAGATGGCTTCTCTTTGAATGGGATGAAAAAAAAAACACAAAGTGAGGGTAAACAACAATATCTTCTGTTTGCCACTTCAAACCCCACAGAGTGGAGAGTATTTACTGCCACATGAAAGTTTGCTCATTATCGGGGAGGTTTGTCGAAAAGGGAGAGGGAGGGGTCCTGATTGTGTACCTGATGTGGTTTCTTTCTGCTTGTCTGATCACAGCTCTGCCTGGATCTTCCCCCTTTTTTTTTCTCCTTTCTCAAGCTGTGGCTGCTCTCACACAGGCCGAGCCATATAGGAGAGAAACAGCGAAACGCACCTCCACGAGGAGGGAAAGGAGGAAAAAAAAGAAAGGTGCTCATCTCGTTTTCACGCTCGCGACAGTGTTCCACTTTTTACAGCTGATTTTCAGATTAAGGATTTAGTCTGCAGATAAGCAGGCACCAATGTGGACCAAAAATATTTCATTAATTTAGCTTTAAAAAAAAAGGCACGATTGATATTATAATACTTCATCTTTAAGGATGCTGTTTCAGAGTTAATTACTGCATATTTTTCATTTCATCTTTGCTGCCTGTATTTTTTTTATATCAATCACTGGCTAAAATAAATTGCAGAAGATTAAGACAAAAGCATTCATATATAAAAAGGCATTTCAGAACAAGGAAAGAAAATCTAAAAAAACTGTAAATACATTTTGCGGCGAGGCATAAATGTGACATACACTGAAGGACAAAAGTGCTCGCTGCTTGATGCGGAGAGTATTGAAAGTCAATTTGTCACTATCACACGCCATTAGCTACAGAATCTTATCTTAAGTGAGCCTTTGATAAAGTGCTAATGACAAACAGTTTAGTGTTGTAAGTGATCCAATTGATTACTATTTAAAGATGATTGCATTTAGATTACAAGTCATTTTGTCTAATGAGGTTTCTTTACAGCTTCTACAATACGTAGAAAATATGCTTAAGTGCAAGGCGACATAATGACGGGATTGGTGAGGAGACAATGCCGACTTCAGCATCACTTCAAATGAGTCACACAGAACGTCTGAATAAATGCATAATTAATGTGAATAAAGTTAATATTTTTTTGTGGTTTAAATATGTGACCTATTTTGAAGGTTGTGTTCTCAAAATATATTCAATAAGTGCCAAATTAGTTGTGCAGTTCTTTAATCATTCTAATTATACAGTCTTTATTGCTCCTTAGGGCAGAATTTTGTGTCTTTGTCTCAGTGGGAATTATTTTGGTGAAGAACCAAAATATTTACTCAACCACAACCTAAATATTACGCATATCAAGAGGAATTGAGAAATAATCCTCTCATAGAGCACAGTATTAAGTTAATCACATTAGTGAAAATACTATTGATAGTGGTCATGATCCCTAGTGAGGGGATCTGTAATTCACAATAAAACAGCCATACAAGATAGAACACACGGCGGTGTGTATTAAAGACTGGGGGACTTGAACAGGCAAATGGCCCTGAGGATTGAGTAAGTGTGTGTGCGAGTGTGTGTCTGAATGCTTGAATGATGGTAAAGAGGGAAGAAAAAGGAGTGATTGTCAGTTCAATCTTCGAGGACCTGAACTGACAGATACAACAAACTTTGAAAGCACATTATGGAAGGAGAATGGCTACACAGAAGCATGTGGAGTCCGCCAGGCTGATAAGACCTTCATCTTTAAACCGCCGCTTGTCAAAGTATTATATGTAATCTCACACTGCAGAATATCTCCATGCCCCGAGGCGCAAACAAAATAGCAGCGGCAATCAAATGACTTCCTGGATCATTAAAAAAAAAAAAAAAAAACGGCCTATCCTACCCTTTGTGAAAAGTCAGATTTTTGAACTCCGATTGCTTCCACCCTCCTGCGGGGCATATGTTTAGCTTAAACCTTCCTCGTACTTTTCTCTGTGGCAGAGCCCCGTGGTTCATATCCACAGATACTTGTTTACCTCCAGGCTCTGAGATGACTTTTCCCATGATAGACTATTTTGAACCATTTAGCGGATACATTATCACTGGCCTTTCTTCCTCATTATATTCCCCTTATCGCCACAGCATCACTGCAAAGCCCCAAATAGAGAGTTGTAATTACCCAGACTGCCACCTGATAGCGGCCCTTCTATCAGCTTTATCACTCCAGGTCCTGCTAACTCATCATAGAGACAGAGGGAAGAAAAGGCCTGCTTGTGGCACAGCCCACCACAGATAGCTCATCTCTCAGATACATTTATAGTTCCAGTTGGGATCAGAGAAAACTGATGCACCAAGGCAATTTTTTATC